CAGCTGCTTAGAGCCCAGCAAGGACCTGGGGGCAGATTCCCCGTGGTTGTTTTGCTCAGGGAGCTACGGAAGTCCCTCCCCGCGGGAGCCTTGGGGGAGAGACCCGCCTTCCTTCCCTGCACACCAGGAGGAAGCCTTTCTGACCTCCCCCGGAGATGTTTCCATAATCGAGGTGTTTTCAGTGCATCTTGGGGTTGCACCAGAAATCTAAGTCACCTATTTTTCAGAGCCTAAGCAGTTAACGGTAGAAATTTTGCTGCACATACATTGATCAGTATGCAAGACAGTTGTCACGGCTGAATCATGGTCCACAGTCAAGGTAAACAGATCTGGGATGACATTTTCTGAGCGGAATACAAATGCAGCTTGTTTCCGCCCAGAGGCCCCTGGCGTTTCTCCTCCGCGGATCGCAGAGCCTCCCGAGAAGGTGTCCGTCACAGGAAGAAAGGCCTCTGTGGGAGCTCCCTGGAAAGGTAGGGCTGTGACATGGGATGTGCTTTCCGTGGGAGGGATTGCCGAAGGGAGAGGACCCGTGAGGAGGCTGTTCTTGGGGTCGCCGCCTCCCCCCTCCCCTTCCACAGAGAGAATCTTTTGGTTTTTCGTACATTCCACTAAGCATTAAAATACCCTATGTTATTGTATTGTGAAAGTTCGTATGTCATTAATGGTTTTGTTTTGGTTTTTTTTTTCCTGATGAGAAGATCAAGGGCTGTCTTTCTCATTTGGATTCACGGGCAAGAGTGCGGGGGGTCGGAATGTGGATTCATTTCCTCGTGCTCCTTTCCTGTGCAGTCCTCTCAAGTTTCGGGGTCGCCCAGCTTTTGCTGCCTGTGCTGTGCCGGAGGAATTCCTTTCGGCGTGTCCGCGTGCGCTGGCGAGATGCTCTAGCGGGGCGCTGCCTCTCTAGCCCGGTGTGCTTTCTGAGTCATGGCCACGCTGCTGGTGCGGGCAGTTAGGAGCATCTGGAAACCTTGTTGCAACTTTGTGTCAAGCAGGTTCCTGGGGTGGGGGTTTCTGCATCCCCAGGCCCCGTGCAGAGTCCTCTCTGTCTACCTCTGCCTTTGTCATTGATGGTGATCCGGGGCCCTGAGCAGAGATCAGGTGACCCGGGCGGAGGGTGGCGTTTGAGGTGGCAGATGATTCCAGATCTGGCAGAGTTGCTGTTGGGGGTGGAAGGATGTGAACAAGGAGGCATGAGGGTCTGCTCAGCAATTCTGGAGCCGTCCAAGGAGCACATGTAGGAAAAGGGCCCCCTCACAATTACGCTTGCGATGCAGGCCTGCCCTGCCCTGCTGGGACAGCACAGGGCGGCCTCCTCCAGGAAGCCTTCCTGGATGCTGCCGGTGGTTCCCAGCCTCCCCCACAGCAGTCAACTCTCCGTGTGGAATCACGCAGCTACGTGTCCCCATCACGCTGAAGGCTGAAGCCGTCAGAGGCAGGACGGGGTCCTTTCACCTCTGACTGTCCGTTTTCTAGCAGGACCTGACCTGAAAGGAGAGCTTTGCTGACGTGGTTAGACTGTGATGGAAACCCCCTCCACCATTTTCTTAGGGCCACCTCTGGGGAGGAAGGAATGTCTGGAGTAGGTGTCCCATTTCTTAGCTGGAGCGTAGACGGAGACCCTGTGTGACGTTGGGCGAAGCCAGAGCCGGCGTCAGGCCCCCGTGAGCGTGCGGCCCCCTGAGTACGCGCGGAGGGAGGACGGGAGACACGCCCCTCCCCCAGCCCACGGCGGTCCCCGGGATGAAGCACACGGCGTGGCGGCTCTAACATGCAGCCAGCCCAGCCATGTTTCTCTTCCCCCGTGCAGCCTCCGTGTGGGAGGATCAGGTGACCAGGCTCTTTAGAATCTTCCCTTTTCAGCTCTGACATCATCCTCTTCCTCCTGAGTGTCCTCTTTTCAGCTCTGTCGTTCAGGCCGTGGCATCTTCCGCCCAGGCGGCCGTGGCCTTCATTCAGAGCAGACGTGCAGGTACAATAAGAACAGGTGACAGGGACCAGCCAGCCTCCGACCTGTGGTGGGGCAGGGGATGGCCAGGGGCAGGCCTCTTTGGGACAATGGTGTTTGAGCTGAATCCGAAAGACCGTGCGGCGTTAATAGGGCGAAGGGAGGGAAAGGGGCTTTGTTGCCACAGGACATGGCGTGTGCAAAGGCCCTGGGGCGGGAGAGACCGTGCGGCCGGCGCTGCCGAGGCGGGCAGTGGCCTGGCCACACGGGAGGTGTGACCGTGGTAGGGAGCGCCTTCGTGCCGGGAGCCGACAGCAGCCGTCGCAGACACACTCAGGGGCCGGAGCGGCTGCGCCCGGCTTCCACGTGGAGAACGAATGGGGGGGAAACAGTGGATGTGGGGAGACACGGGGGCCCCGGGAGTGGCAGCAGTGGCTGCCCAGGCCGTCAGGAGGGGACGGCGGGGGGTGGTGCCTGGGCTCGGGGATCAGCGCAGAGATGGGGTGGGCGCCAAGCCCGGGCTGAGATCAGCGGCCGGAGGAGAGTGGAGGGGAGCACGCTCTAACGGGGGGGGGGGGCGGGGGGGGCTGGGCTGGGCGGGGCCTGTGAGGCGGGCAGGTCGCCCCTGGAAACCAGGAGGGGGTGCTCGAGATGGGGCCACGGGGGCTGCACCCACAGCGGGGGCGGGGGCGGAAAAGGGGCCTCTTGCCTTCACAAGAGGGGAGCCCCGTGAGGAGAGCCCCCGGGGGGGGGGGCGGGACGCCGTCTGACGCAGGGTTGCCAGGCAGACGGGGGCGGGGGGCGGCGAGGAGACTCGAGGCCTGAGGGGCGCGGCCGACCCAGCCCCCGCGGCAGGCGTCCGCTCCTACGTGGGACCCGCCGGGCGATGGACTTGGTGTGGACACGCCTTCGGGTCGCGGGAAGCCCTGGCGTCTGTCCCCCGAAGCGCCTCTCCTGCCCACACGTGGTCAGCCTGCCACCGCCCCGGGGTCGGGGCGGGACCCTGGGCTCACTTGCTGGGGGACAGAGTTCGATGCTGATGGGACAGCGAGGCCGGGGGGGGGCCCGGGGTCCACGCAGGCAATTGTCCGCGTGTGTCACGTCACCTTCCCTCCCCCTCCCTCCTCCTCTGAGGGGCTCCCGGGATCCCTCGACCCTGCTGCACAGCCACGGCCTCTGCGGAGCTTTACTTTCTATAACTCATCCTGCAAAAAACAACCCCTCTCTTTGTGCTCCCCCCCAAAATGGGGTGAATGTTATTTTTTCCTCATTACACAGTGCCTCCCGCCCCCGCCCCGTTCTGAGCCGGCGGGCAGGTGGGGCAGGGCGGGGGGCGGGGGGGCCTTCGCAGGTTCGCGTTCATGACTCAGCTCTTCCCGCCTCAACTCTCCTGAACTCAAAGGCAGGCGTGAGGTAGCGGCTGTAAACTACACCAGCGTGTCGCATGGCACAGGAGCCGTGCGGATAGTAATGCCACACGCTCCCACACATAGGACCTTGGCGATGTGCCGGGTTAATCAGGGTTCAAGTTGCTTCCTTATCGAGATTTCTCAGGATGTGTCGAATGGGAGGTTGGCTTCTCCAAGAAGGGCAATAACTTGTTGGCCACAAAACCCTCTCCTTGTAGAATCTTGAGGGTCTGATGTTCTGTGGGACTAGGGGAGCGGTGGCTTTCAGGGACGTAATGAACCTAACATGCTTTAGCCTCCATTTCGGGAAAAAATACAGATTTCTGATCAGCAGGAAGCTGCTGATCAGGGTACGCGGTCTAGCTGTCCAGCACAGTAATTGTCTACAGGGGAGAGGATTGCTTCAAGGAGGGTTTTTTTCTCTTGAATAATTTTTTAATGTGTACATTGGTTAAAAAAAAAAAAAACCAACAACAAACCAACTGTGGTTGCTCTCAAATTTTCGGGAACATCACGGAGTAGCTAAATTGAGATTTTATTAGCATTGTAAAGTTCTTCAGAAAGTTTCAAGGCGGATAGTGCAGATGACCTTAGAATGACTTTGATGAACATGATCTCTTCGGGCGCAGCTGTGGGCCGGCGTCAGCGCCTCCCCCGGTGCCCGGAGGGGGCAGAGGGCAGAACTGTGCCCGTGTGCGCGCCCGCTCTCCGCGCCGCCTCTTTCAAAAGCTCCCTTGCGGCTGTCGCTTCCCTTCTGCCCCGGGTGAGAGCTGAGCCGGGGGGGCCGGCACAGGAGCCGTCACTCCCAAGGACAATGACCAGACCCGAGAGGCCGTTTGAGGACAGGCCTCGTCTTTCCCTGGCCTGAGCAGGGCTGCCCGAGTCCAGGAGCCCTCGCTGAAGTGGGAAGTGGGGGCTTGCAGACTGTGGTGGTGCTGGCGTTCGGGGTGCCTCGGCTGCCGTGGCCTCGATGGATGTGTCCAGCTTGTGAGAAACAGAAGATGAGATAGTGGTGCCCAGGAGAGGCACTGTCGCATTTTTTAAATCTGCGGCGTTACTCCTGGCTGTCACCGCCGGCTCGCCGCGTGGCCTGGTGACGCTGTTGCGGCCCCTGGACCTCCCTCTCCACCTCGAGAATGTGGGGGCCGTGAGAGCTCTGTCCTCAGAATTCTGAGTCCAGTTTCAGGGCGGGCAGCGGCCTTTCTGCTTGCATACAAATGCCCAGGGTGAGGGCAGGGCACCTGCGGACGCTGCCGCAGGGCCCGACCCATGGCTCTCGGTGGGTTTGCCCGTTGGGGTTACCAGGTTGCTACCAGGCGGGCTCTTTCCTGTGCCTGGATTCCTGGACGTCTTACCTGCCCCCAGGCAACCGGGACACAGGAGGTCCTCGCCAGAGCCGCTAAGCTGTGCTAACTCTTCTTAGCCACCCGAACTGGATACGGGTGCACTGCGTGGGAGACCCTTGTCCAGAGGAGAGGCAGCGCCCAGACGAGAAGGACCCACTGAGTCACCCAAGTGGCGGCGTCAGGGCAGCCCCAGGACCCGGCCTTGGGCTCTCCTCCCGGGGGGTGCTTTTGGTGCCATCGGCCAGCTTTCGTGTTTTTCTGGGATTGACAAATGCTCTCGTTTTTGCTGACTTCCAGAGATGGCCTCAGACATCCCCGGCTCGGTGACGTTGCCCGTGGCGCCCATGGCGGCCTCTGGACAGGTGAGGATGGCGGGGGCCGTGCCGGCCCGCGGCGGAAAGCGGCGCTCTGGGTAAGCCATCTCAGCATTCCCTGGGCCTGGGCTTCCTGCGCGCTGCGCGACACTCTTGACCTGTCAGGGAAACGCTGTCCCTCGCTGTCCCTCCCTGTCCCGGAGAATAAAAGCCCAGCGGTTCGCTTCCTGTTTAGCTTTTGCAAGACCTCGGACTGTGCATGTGACGGGGCTCTCAGTGTTCTGGGCTTCGGCGCCCTGCTGGGGACTTCTGTTTGCTCGTCTCTGTGGGGAGCATGAACCCTGCGGTCCTGGGCCTTGCTCAGGCCATCGCTCCGAGGGAGGGGCCCTGGGCGCCCCCTGAACTCCCGCCCGCCGCATTGGCCGCAGGGGCTCCCTGGTGCCAGCTGTCCTTCCCTTGGGGGGCCGGTCTTTGCTGGGGTGTGTGCAGGAACCGCTCCTTGCAGCATCCGGGCCCCTGAAGGCCGGGCGGCCTGCACGGTGTGCCGCTCTGCGGGTAGCACTGATAACATGGTAGATCCTGGCAGCGCCAGAGAGGTCGCCTCTCTTGCACCGGTGAAACCCAAGGCGCATCTACTCCAGGGAGCCCTGTCTTAGAGCTCAGACTGAAGGCCCTGCGGGAAAAGCGCAGCGGACACTTGCAGGCCCAGGCAGTGAGCCAGCCCCTGTCCCTCATTGAGTCGACGTTATTTTCAGTGAAAAAGTCGGTACACAGAGTTTCCCTTGAAGTGGGATCGGTTTTTCCTATTAATGCAATTTTGTTTTCTTTTTTATTTTTAAATGTTTTACCGACTTATTTTTAGAGAAAGGGGAAGGGAGAGAGAAAGGGAGAGAAGCATCCATGTGTGGTTGCCTCTCACATGTCCCCGACTGGGGACCCGGCCTGCGACCCAGGCCGGTGCCCTGACGGGGAATCGGAGCAGCGACCCTTTGGTTCGCAGACCGGTGATCAGTCCGCTGAGCCGCACCCGCCGGGGCCAATGCAATTGCCGAGAGCACAGCCTCCCCGCGCCGCAGTGTCAGCAGAAGACACCTGTCGGGTGCAAGGCCTGCCGGGTGGGCAGGCGTACGGGTGCTGTGTGTGAAGACCGGGAAGGGAGTGGGTTAGGATGAAACGCACATTCGGATTCAGCGTTACAACTTCAGGCTGTAAGACAACGTGCCGTGGGCCTCGTGCGGTCCTCAGAGGACGACCCGCGGCTTCGGTGTTTCCCGGGAGAGCCGGCAAGGCTGAGGCGGCGCGCTCTGTGGCCTCACCAGCTTTCCTGCACCCGCGGGCTCCTACCCATGTGCTGCGGCAGCCTGGTCCCCACCCGCCACTGCCCTTGTCTCCTGGCGGGGTTGGGGGGGGGGCGGGCAGCAGAGCTGTGATGAGCAGGGTGGGTGCCGGGGGCAGGTCCTCAGACCGGCTGTGCCCTGAGAGCGGCCTGCGGCCCCGGCGCCGACCCAGGCGCGGCCGTTCCAACTAACCAGCAGCCCCTGCTCACTGGGCTGGGGTTGCTGTCAACATATCAAGTGACTAATTTTTAAAAAAGATTCCAGGTCTGTTAAACTCGTTTTAAATGTTTGTGCCCTCTCGCTGCCACCCGTCCCCAGGAGACAGAGCCCCCGGGAGTGCCCAGTTCTCTTGGACAGGAGGCCAGCACGGGCTGTTCAGGGAGGGCGGAAGGGTGGGCCGGGGCCGAGCGCAGGCGGGGACGGCCAGGGCGAGGAGCTGCCGCCCTCCCTCCTGCAGGCGTGTCCGGTGCGTGTCCGGTCCGTGCCCGGCTCAGGGCGCAGCTGCAGGGGCGAGGCCGCTTCCCGCCTGGCCTCCGAGGTCCTGACCCCCGCCTGGCGTCCAGACCCTGACTGCTGCTTGCTCCCGAGCTGATGGCTGGACGGGCGGTGGGCTCGGCCTTCTTTCTGCCAAGCGCCCCCCGCTGTCCCTGTCGGCACCGATCACGGCGTGACACCGGCTGCGGAGGGACCGGAGCGGCCGAGGCGGGGCCCAGGGAGCAGAACGCCGAGAGAGAGAAAGGAGACGAGAGGTCCAAGGGGGCGAGGAGCCGCTGAGGACGCAGCCCCCGGCAAGGAGAAGCGGGGCGCGCGCACTCTGGACGGAGGCCCCCGTGCTGACCTCCGGCGCGGAGGGGGCTCGTCCTCGGCCGTCCGCATTCTCGGGGCCCAGGCGCCCGCTTCCTTTCCCTGGCAGAGCAGGGGGCTGTCCAGCCCGGTCCCTTCTGCCGAGCCCCAGTGAGGCGGGGACGTCTCCTCGGCGTCTAAGAAAAGTCTCCCTTTTTCCAGGGCTGTCTCCATAGTAATTCTCGAAGCTGATATTTCTGCACGTTTTGCTGAAATCCTGCGACTGAGGCCCCTGCTGCTGTAGAGCTTGGCACACTCCTCGGAGCACGGGCTGCGCCCTCAGCTGGGGGCTCAGGTGGCCCCGCAGCAGGTCCCACCCTCTGGCGTGCTGGGCAGTGGTGTTCTTCCGCCTCCTCCGCTCTGAGAGTGTGGGCGCAGTTGGAGAGACACGGGGGTGGGCTGGTTGGACGGGGACAAGGCAGCAGGCAAGGGCCTCCTTCCGGCCCCTGCTCCTGGCCTGGTTCTCCCAGCCGGACCTGTCATCCTGGTGGAGGGAAGGGTCCCAAATTCCCGGGGTACCCACCCATCCCGCCCTAGCGTTTCAAGCCGAGTGGCGCGGACCCTTTGGGTTTGGGCTTCTGCGGGCACACGCCTCGCCCAGCGCTGCGGGTGCTTCGGGCTGAACGCTCTCCCTTCCCTCCCCGGCAGCGTCCCAGCCGGCGTGTGCGCTGCCAGCCAGGGGGACCCAAGGGGAAGGTTCAGAATTTCCAGATTCTTGGGAAAGTGATTCCACATGTGGGAGACAAGAGGTGAAGCCAGTCACCTGAACTGTGTTTTTGCAGAGGCCTGCCTGGTCTCAGCAACAGGGTGGAGAGGGGTGGGGTGCGCTCGGAGCCGCTGAGGCCCCCGGTAGTGTAGCGCTTGGGCCCTGGCATCAAGGGACTGCGCCTGGTCCAGGTCTGAAGGAAGAGCATTTGCTGGCACCGGTGTCATATCAGCTTGGTTTGAGGACGCCTCAGGGTGGCTCCGTGGCTGCCCTTCTGGGACCAGCCCTATTGGCCCAGCCTGTGCCGAGAGCATAAGTGAATTGTGCCTGGTGGCTCCTATTTGATGAAGCGTTATTATGGCACAGTCCCTGCCGGGGAGACCCATACCCCTCGCTCTTCACCAGGGACAGGCTCGGAAATAAATGCCGCCCGTGGCTCCTGAGCGAGGTGAGAACCTGGGCCGGCGGGCGGGAGAGTGCGCTGGCGCCTGCCGCCCGCGTTTTGGAGGCGCCTCTCATCATCCCCTCCTCGTACCGAATTCTTCAGAGTGAACTCAGTAGCACTTGGAAGTCCTGTTTTGGTTTCTCTCCTTTATATCCAGATGCTTCAGCGCAGTAGAGGCAATGAAAGGCGTCTTAAGACAAAGGGTGATTGAGGTCAGAGTTTTCGCAGCGGGAGAGGCAGGCCTGTAGCTCGCGGAGTCCTTCCTAAGGTGGCGACAGAGACCCGCAGGCTGTCTGGGCCAGTGCTGCTCTGCCCTGCATTTGTCCCTATGTTGCCGTTAGCAGTGAGCCCTGTGGGTCACCCTGAGGACGGGAACAGCCGTCAGTGTCCTGATGTCTCCCCTGGGTGCACCCCGCGTCACGCCGTTCCAGAGACTAAACCTGATTGCTGCCCCTGTGTGATCACACGCACAGGTGGAGAGGCAACAGCCTCGCGGTCCCTTATTTTTTTGTAGACAAATCCTGGTTCCCGGGCTCCCAGAGGCCTCGAGGAACCCTGGGCACCATCCCTTTCTCGCGCCGTCTGCTCGACGGTGCGGACCTCGCCCAGGTCCGGGCCCCGTGGGGGTCACGGTCACACGGTGGCTCTCGCTCCCCAACTTGTCTGCTCCACGGCTGTCCGGGCAAAGGACAGAGATGTCTTTACGAAAACGAGGGTGACCAGCTCTCCCGGTGGGCCCGGGACCTCCCCAGCTTGAGCACGGGGGTCCTGTCACCCAGGAATCCTCTCCGTCTGGGAGCACGAGGATGGTTGGACCCCCGAAATCCCCCGAAAGGCCATGCAGGCCGAGGGAGGGCTGGCCGTCCCGCTCCTCTCGGCGAGAGCGAAAAGGTGCCTTAAAGGCTCCTGCGCCTCCCACAGCCACATGCGGGCTGGCTCAGCCACCGGAGTTTTGGAAAGGTGATCTCTGTCCTAAACCCTGAAATGTGTTTGGCGGGGCTTAGGGAACCGGCATGCTCGTTCCCAGATGAACACCAGGTGGCAGTGTGGCCCCGTGTCTGCGCAGAACCCAGGGGTGCCTCCCAGATGCTAACCTTCCGCAAAGCTGCGGTGGCGGCTAAGTCACCGTGCAGAGCAGCAGTGGCTTTGCTTCACTTAGCCAGTTGCGCACGTGAGGGCCTCCTTTTCCTGGGACAGACTCCCTGCAGCTGCTGGCTGGTGCGTGGATGGCCCCACCGTGTGGGCAGGGGCGTGTCCGTCCCTCCCGGTGGCGGGTCTGTGGCCTTCCGTTCGCTGTTCCCTGCCTCCGTTTCCCCCTGCGCTGGTTCTTGGGGGACTGTGCCTGACGGCCTCACTCCCGGTGTCTGACTCCTTTGCCCCCTTTATCCCCAGCAGCCTGGGCGGCCCTCGCGTCGGGAAGTCAGGGGTCCCATCAGGCCTCCCGGGGAGACCGAGGCCCAGATGCGAACTGTGGCCACAAATGCACACACACACAAAAAGCAAGCCCGCGATACCGTTTTATTTAAGTATTTTTAATCCTCGCCCGTGGATACGTTTGTTGATTTCTAGAGAGAGAGGAAGGGAGAGAGAAAGAAAAACACCGACAGAAGGAAGGGACACAGTCGGCTGCCCCTTCCCCTGCATGTGCCCTGACCGGGCGTCGGACCCGCAGCCACTCAGTGTGCGGGACGACGCTCCCTCCGACTGAGCCACCCGGCCTGGGCATCTCAGGGCGCCATTTTAAAGAAGAACGTGCTCCTCTGCCCGGCCTAGTGCTGGTCTCCATGTCCCCGAGTTACCCCAAAGCCTAGAGAATACCTCTCGCTGGGGGTGCGCCGGGACAGGGCGGCTCGGCCGTTTCCTGGTGGCCCGGCTGTCCTGGGCCTCCTGATGTCACCCTGACCCGCGGAGCCCCGCCCTCAGGCCCGGGGTGGGGACCACGTCCCTGTGAGCCGAGCTGTGGTCTTTCACACACACTCCGTTCCCTGCTGACGAGGTCCCGCTCGGCCCTGGCTGCCGGGCTGCCGGCCTCCCCGCGGCTCGGGATCCCTGGGGACGGTGCCTCACTCGGCCCCTCAGGCGCGCCAAGAGCAGGGTGGGGAGCGTGGCGGCTCCGAGGCACTCTCTCCCAGGGAGCCCCCCGCCCTGGATGTCCCCAGAGCCAAGACATCGGAACCAGCTCTCCTTTTGCTCCCGAAGGTTCCGCGTGCCCTGTGCACTCAGCACCCCTCTGCCCGGACATTCCCGGCAGTGACGCCGCGGGTATCAGAGAGGCCTGGATCCTTGAGGACAGCTTGGGATATCATTTAAACAAATATCTATCAAGACTTTTTGTTTTATGTTTATACTGAGAGGCCCAGCAAAGTCGGGATGTGAGTGTTTGTTTAGTGAGTTTCAACAAGCAGAGAGCCTCGCCGAGCGCTGAGGCTCCGCGCGGCCGTCTCTCCTTCCGCATCCATTTATCTGGGCCCGCGCTTCCGCGCGGGATGGCCTGAAGTGTCCTTTTCACGTGGATTCCCCCAGACCAGCGGAGGCCTCCCGTAGCGCAAGCAGCGGTGGGTCTTGTTCTCCTCAGCACCCCCTCGTCGCCTTTACAGCTTCCTGTTTTCAAGCCTCCTTGAGCTTGTTTTACTCTGTTAACATGTCCCAAAATAAAGTAAAAAAGGAAGTCTCCCTGCGGGACCGGTGATGGGAGTGGGGAGCGGTGTCCCCATGTTGTGGGGAGGCGAGGAGTGGGGACCCTTCGCTTGGCCGGAGGGACCCGCGGCAGCGGATGTCCCAGCCCTGTCACGGTGCTGCCGCCCGGGGGAAGGGAAGACCTGTCATTCGGCCGCAACCTTTCCTGACCCTGTTTGATGACTGTGTGGAGTCGCTGCTTCCCGCTCTGCCAGGGGTGGGGACGGCCGGACGGCCCCCTGTGCCCGCGGTTCCTGTGACCAGTGACAGGTCCTCTGTGCAATGATGCTCACGCCTGCCCTTGACTTTTCAGAATGGACTTTGATGATGAAGATGGGGAAGGTCCCAGCAAATTTTCAAGGTGAGTTCACTTTATGTTCCTTAGACTTAAAGGAGCCTGTAGCCAGCCATCCCCCGCCTGGGACAGACGGTCTCTTGTCACCGACAAAGCTACTGCCTGCCCTTTGACCCCCACGCTTGTCCCCCGTTCTGTGCCCAGCGACAGGAAACTAGCGGCAGCCCTCCCACATCCCAGCCTAGGCTGCTGACGGTTAAGGAAGAAGGTGGTGACTCTCCTGGCGTTTCTGAAACCGTGACTGCCCACGTTAATGGATTTCTTTTTAAAAGACGGGCCTAGAGTTCAGGGTTCGATAAACGGTCAAGACGAGGCTTCTTTTTCTGCCACGTAAAACGAGGAGAAATGTAAGAAACCTGGGCGGCCGGAGCGCAGACCACCCCGCAGGCAGGGGACTGGCTCCCAGGTGCCGGCGGTGGCCCGTGTGCTTCGTGCAGAAGGCGAGGGTGGCCTGGCCCCGCGGCTCGCTCGTCTTTTGAAACTTTTCTGGGTTTGTAGGCTGTAGTCAGGAGTTTGGCTGTTGAGAGAAAGGCCCTGACTGTTTTGTCAATCTCAGCAAAATTCCCGCCTGTGCTCCCGTGACCTACGGGAGCACCTGCCTGGACGTTCGTCCGCACCTGCCCTCACAGTGCCCTAACTCTTGGTTGTGGCTGACCGTGGACGCCTGCCCCGGCTGACAGGTACCCTCCGCCGGCATCCACGCGCACAGGTCGGGGGATGGCCTCGGCTGTTTTCTAAACATTTTTAGAAGAATGGTGGAACGGTGTCCGGGCAGAGCCCCGGGCCCACTGGCGTCCCAGCTGGCTCGTCCCGTGGCAGCCGCCTTAGGCTGTGCTCCCTTCCACCCGTGCTGTGGTTGTGGATGGAGCTCACGCTCCCCGAGTCCGAGCGGAGCTTGCCCCGCAGTGCAGTCCCGGGGTGCCCTGGGGTCTCCCACCCACGGCGGACGTCCCTGGACACACACCTGAGACCGTTCCCTCTCGCCTCCTGCTGCGGCTCCGGGGGAGGCAGGACGGGGGACGGACGGCAGTTGACCCCTGATGACGCTCGAGTTTCCAGCCCAAACAAGACGTGACGGAAACAACCAAAGTGCGCACTGCTTTTCCCGTGGTGCAGGCAGGACCCCGGCTGGGACGGCCAGCCGTTCCCCGGGCAGGGCACTTTCTTCTCGGAAATGAGGGCGCCCGCTGCACACCCCAAGGGCCCCCGCCCCCCGCGGCCTCCCTTTTGCGAGGAAACAACGCCTTTGATTCCCCTGGGTCAGAATTCCCCTTGCGATACCGTCCCGCGCCCCGGTGGCTCAGGGAGCAATGGCTCCTGGAGCCTCGGAACAAAAAGAGGAAAAGACGTGAGCAGCGGATGTGTTCGACGTTGAAGGTCCGTGTCAGTGACGAAATAACCAGGCAGGGTGACGAGGAGCCCATGTGTTAGGCCCCATCGATGAACCCCGGGCTCTCGAGTGCCAGAGTTCAGACCTCAGCTTCTGTCTTTCCACCACACGTTAAAAAGAAGAGAAAGACGAACCGGCTTCCTATATGTTGAGGTGGTATGAGCCGGGGCCGCCGGACCCCAGCCCACAGAGCCCGCCGGTCAGCACGTGCCTCAGGGCTGCTCCAAGCCGGGCGCGCGCCTGAGGCTGCCCCCGCCCGGCGGCTTTGCGGGGGGCTGCAGTTGCTGCCCAGGGGAGGGGTGTGAATCCTTGATGCTTATGACCAAGTGCCTAGGTTCCTGGGGGGCGATTCTAGGACATTTAGAGACGGAGGTGAGATGCAGAAGCTCGCTCAGGTGTCGGGGAGCCGTGCTGCCCAGGGCGGGCTCCGAGCGCCCGGCCGTCACGAGCTGGTCCTGCCCCCCGGGCCCTGGCTGTTACCAACGTGCCGCTTCGCCCTGTGAGCTGGTAACCCCTCTGACTCTCCTCTTTCTCCCTCTCCCCGTGCCCCCGGGAAGGGAGAACCACAGTGAGATTGAGCGGCGCCGGCGGAACAAGATGACTCAGTACATCACCGAGCTCTCCGACATGGTCCCCACCTGCAGCGCGCTGGCCCGCAAGCCCGACAAGCTGACCATCCTGCGCATGGCTGTGTCGCACATGAAGTCCATGCGGGGCACGGGGAACAAGTCCACAGACGGCGCCTACAAGCCTTCCTTCCTCACCGAGCAGGTACCGTCCCGCCCTCGTCACGGTGGCCGTCGGGGAGCGGGGCTCGGGCTGCGGAAGGGACGCGCTCGAGACATTCCGTCGTCACTCTCCACCCGGAAGGCCTCTCCCGGGGGCTGCCGGTCCCACCTTTGCATCCTCCGGGGTTATGTCCCCCGTGTACTTGGCAAGGCATCCCTCAGGCGTTCAGCATCTGAGCCAGGTGCCTGCCACGCTGACACCGGGAGAAGTTCTGTGCGCAGGGGGGTGTGGTGGTCATGCTGGTGGTAGTTTTGGTAGCATTCACGCTAATCACGTGACAAGGGTCATTGTCGCCGGCACGTGACAGGCCTTTCTCCGGGCCTGGTTGGAGTCAGACCTTTCTGTGTGTCATTTCGTTTACCCCTTGTTCGGGCCCCAGGAAGCCGCCGCTGTAATTCATCCCTGTTTTGTAAAGGAAGTTGAGGCAATTGGCCTCAAGCCAGTCAGCTGCTGGTTGGTGGAGCCCAGTGTTGACACAGGCTGGTCGGACCCCAAAGCCGTATTTTAACAGCTGCATTAGCTTCTGGAGAGTTGGGAAGAGCGAGCCTGTGAGGGCCAGTGGGATCGTGTTTTAGGAACTGACCGGGTTCCGGGTCCTCGCTCTGCGCGCTGGCTGCCGGGCGCGCGGGTGCAGGCCGTGCGCTGCAGGGTGCGCCTCTCGGAGACGAAGGTGAGCCTCGTGCCTTCCCGACTCGGGGCGTTGCCGGGTAGAGGAGCCCATGGGTTGAAAGCGCTCAGCAAGGCAGAGGGACGCGGTCGCCAGGGAAGAGCAGGAGGAAGCGCCGCCGTGCACAGCGGCAGGGCCCAGAAAGCCGCGGTGGGTGCGTGTGACTCGAGGAGAACTGCGAGCCGGGAGCGCTGGGCGGGGGTGGCAACGGCGGGCGTGTGGAGGCGAGTGGCTTATGCTGCGGGTGCCTGGAGCCTGCTCACGCCCGGAGTGAGGCTTCGGAAGGGCGCGCGGGACGAGGAGGCGCGAGCACCCGGGCCGGTCCTGTGGCGGACGTTCTCGTTTGTCTTCATCCCGGTGGCCCCTGGCGCCCCCGACAGGTGTCAGGAAGGCGCCACCCAGTGGCCGTGGCTGGGAGGACGTGCGGCCTGGCGGTTCAGGACGCGAACAGCTCCCCCCTCGTGCGCCTGTGGGAAAGCACGCCGGGGACGTGAAGTCAGGGGCGCCAGCTGCCCAGGGGACGCGCCCCGAGCGGGGTGTCTTCCCCCCAAGTCCACGCCCTCCCGCCTCACTGTCGGTTTCACTGAGAATGGAGGCCAGGCTGGTTCTGACATCCAGTCACAGGACTCTGGCTGAGGGTGGCGTGCTCCCAGACGGCAGAAATCGGGGGGGGCGGGGGGGAGAAAGAGGGGTCTGTGATGAGCGTGAGGCCCTGTCCCCGAAGCCCTTCCCACAGTCCAGCAGCCTGGGCGGGACGGAACCCCCGCCCCCGCTCCTCCATTTCCACAGCCCTTCCTGTTGGGAAGGTCTTCCCGACTCTGAAAATAGAAATGCTGACCCCGTCCTCCGCATGAAGTCAGCGTCTCGGACACTCAGCAGAAATGCGGGGCAGGAGAAACGGACACAAGAGGCTTTTCTGTCAGAGGCCACTTCCGCCCTCGTTCCCAGGCAGAGGACGGCCGAATTCTGACCCAGTCACGGGCTCGGAGACCCTCACGAAGCCCCCCGGGTTCCGCTCACCAGCAGGTCCATGTTTTCGAATCTTCGGGGATGGACCTAGGGCAGGGCCACGTGCAGCGGGCCTGTGTTCTGTGTCGCAGAGGTTTCCGCATACAATTACCTTGGAACGAAGGATTCCCACCAAGAGCTCTTGCCAACCGCTGGCCCAGAAGGCGGCTTTGTTGTCCGGGGCCTGAGCAGGGCAGGCGGCGGGAGGCGCACCTGCGGGCTCGAATGCATGCGGCAGAGTTAGTTCCGGCGGGGACGGAGCCCGCGTCACGAGCAGAAAGGGGCTCCCAGGCCTGATGTAAGGATGACGTGGGTGGGCAGCTGCTCTGGAGCTGCCTTCGGGCCCCGCAGAGAAAAGACGCTCACGTTAACCAGGCTGATTTCGCCCCTTCCATGTCTCAGGCCGATGACAAGGCTTCCTGCGGCCCATTCCCTGTCCCCAAGCAGCTTCCTTCCCACCGTCACTGCCAGTCCCAAGCCCGGGGAGTCCGTGTGGCTCCAGGGCGGGTGTGCGAACCCCTCTTCTTGCTGTAGGGCGAGGTGGTCAGGGCTCTGTGCCCCGCCACCTCCCGGGATTACCCGGAGAGTCTGGCGAGATGTTGGCTGTCAAGTTGTTCTGGCAGTTGGACAGACGTGCAGATGTAAGGCGATGCTTGCGCACCCACTGCCAGCATTCCGCCCGGAAAGCCCAGGAAGTGCAAGGACGGGGTGCCCCGGCCGCGTGGCATGCGGTGGGTGAGGGGTCACTTGGCCCCTTTCTGTTTGTCACCTCGCTTTCCCGTTCTCTTTCCTTTCCTTCCTTCCTTCTGCTCCAATGACATGACTGCAGTTTGGATGTGTAGGTGAGGCCATTCACACCTGGGACAGCCCAGCACCTTCTGGCCATCGCTCCCCGTTCTCTCACCCCCTGAGCTGGGCGTTGCACCTCCCCCTGAGAGAGGACTAGTTAAGACGGGGCTGCCGGCATTTCAAGTAGCTGCGTCTTCGGGCTGGTACGAGCTCTGCGCGTTTTGAAAAATTCATTTGCAATTAAAAAAAAAAGCAATCAAAGTTTCCAGAACGGTGTGCATCCCCACAAGTATCTAAATGAAAGCTGAAGGTTGCCAAGAGGAAAACTGACTTGGCCGGGGTTTGCCAGCGCTTTTCCCCAGTGACGGCCTTTCCTTTCCAGGAACTGAAGCATCTCATCCTGGAAGCGGCCGACGGGTTTCTGTTTGTCGTGGCGGCTGAGACAGGGCGTGTGATCTACGTGTCTGACTCCGTGACCCCTGTTCTGAACCAGCCGCAGTCGGAGTGGTTTGGGAGCACCCTCTACGAACAGGTGCACCCCGACGACGTGGAGAAGCTGAGAGAGCAGCTGTGCACCTCAGAAAACTCCATGACAGGTCAGTGTGGCTCCCTCTGAGGAGCTGTGTGACCCTCGTTTTCTTTCAGCAAAGAGATCAGGAAGCTGCAGGTCAGTAGAAGCTGCCTCAAGGTGAGGGCGTACATTTGCCATGGCTTCATTTATCCTAGTGCATAAAAATCCATTTTTAATTCATCCCTCCCCCTGCCCCGTATTTTACCTGCAATTAGAGATAGTGCCACAAGGAGGCGCTGTTGATGTAGTAGTGAGAACGACATGCTCTGTGATGAGTTTTGGGTGACTATTTGTGATACTAATCAGAGACGCTGACTACCCAGGTCTCAACTGCCTAAGATTAAGTTCCCTTTTGAGACACTTCAACGCAGTCAGTTCTGCTATGACAACATACATGTTATAATAAAAAAATGTGCAACGTACGAAATTGTGAAGTAAAAAAACCACAGGGCTTATGGGGAGAAGGGGGTTAGGAACACGACACCCGTATCTGTGAGCGACAGGTGAAATGAAAACAGGAACCTAAGAGAATGGGAGTGTGGCTCTCCCCGTAACCCCCTCTGCAGAGAAAGGCCCCGGGTCCAAGTACCGTCGGTTCTGAGGTCCTGGGTGTTAGGGCCTCGGCATACGGATTTGGGGGGACGCAGTCCGGCCCTTAACCCTTATGGTGAGACTGAGTCGGGGGTGGCCCAGCGTGGCAGGGGTACCGCGGTCTGTGAACGGTAACAGGGGTTTTCTCAGTGTTGGTATAAGAGGCAGGAAGAGGAGAGAGGGTGAAGAGGGAGGACAGGGTGTGAGTTGTCTCCTCTCTGTGTCTCCTGAGACGGTGACGTGACCCGGCCCCGAGCTCCACGTGGGTGTCAAACAGCGGTGCTAAAACGGGACAGGGCCGTGCCCGAGGCTGCTTGGAGGAGCCCACAGAGAAGCCCTGGGCCCCGCCTTCCAGAGCTCAGCGCCTGGAGGGAGTGTAGATCCCTCAGGCGCTGACAGCTGTGCCCCACATTCCGTGTTCGCCCACAGGCTGTGGCTCTTTGGAAGCCAGTCAGCGGGCCCCGCGGGGGCAGATGGCCGGGACACGGTGGTTGAGGGCCGGTCGGGCTCCGGCCCAGGGCTGAGCTCAGCGGCTCACCAGAGCTGGGTGGACACTCCGTCCGTGGGGAGCCTTCTTGCTCCTGGCACACTTTCAGAGGACGGTTGGCGAGGGGTGTCGGCGGCGAGGACCCTGGCTGGTCGCCGTGGCAGCCGGAGTGGGTGCAGGGGGAGGAGACCCCGGGACGGTGAACGGCCCGGCCCGCAAGCGCCCCCCGGGCGGGGCTGCTCTGACGAGAGCGAGGTGGACCAGAGCCGAGGGTCCATGCGCCTGGGCGGCCGGGAGCCGCTGGGGGGGCCGCGATGCTCCGGGGACGCACAGCAGGTCACGGCAGCGGCGCGCCACTCCGGCGCGGGCCTCGGGCTTTCATTGGCGCTGGGAACAGGGCTTCGTAACCGGCCAAAGCGCAATAAAAACACGCAGTAAAAAGTCGTATAATAAAAGGATGTAATAGAAGCTTGTGATAAAAAGCCCCAGGGAAGACTGGAAGCCTGTGAATGTGGGACAAGGGTCGCGCAAACCCTCCCGTCCCTGCACGAGTTCCTCTCCGCCCAGGGAGGGGACGTGGCCCACCGCGGTCAGGGACACACGCTCCAGCACCTCCCCAAATTTCCTCCTGTTCTTCTGCGGCTCTTTTTCTTTCTTTTGTGGTAAGAACACGAGGTCCGTCCTCTTAACGCTTGTCAAAGTGCACGTTACGTGGCTGTGAACTGTGGGCCCAGGGCTGTGCCCCAGGTCCCTTAGGACCTACTCATTCTGAGAACGGGAGCGAGTGAGCGCTGCGCCCCCAGCCCCCGCTGCTCCCCGCCCCCGGGCCAGCCCTCGCTGCGTCCTCTGCGCCTGTGAGCGGGGCTGCTTGTGGCTCCTCGCGGAACTGGACTCAAGCGGGTTGTGTCTCTCTGTGACAGGCTTACGTCCCTGAGCGTAATGGCATCTAAAGTTCATCAAAATGGTTGCAAATGATAGGATTTCCCTCTTTTTTAGGGCAGAATAATATCCCACTGTGTGCGCGCACCACGTTTTCTTTATCCATCCCTCCGCCAGCGGCGTTAGGGTGTGTCCTTGTCTTGACTACTGTGAATGGTGCTGCCGTGAACACGGGGTGCAGGCATCCATCCCTTCGCGACCCTGCTTTCAGCTCCTTAGGGAGCACAGGGCAGGGTGAGGCGGGTTCCCCTTGGGAAGGCTGATGAGCCGCTCTGGGCTTCTGTCTGCAGCGGAAGCAGAGTGCCTCCCCTGCGGTTCCAGCTGGGGTCCCAGGATGGGCTCCCCTGGCCCACTCAGGCCCCTGCCCCCCCAGTCCCAGCGGCTGCAGCATCGGAGCCAGGCGTGGCGCAGCCGCTGCGCACAGGGCAGGCGGGCCTGCGGGCGGGCGGCGGAGCAGGGCCTCCCCGGGGGCCGGGAGCCGGGGAGCTGGGGGGCTGTCACTGAACGGAGGCAGGGGTGCTGGCTGTGGGGGCGGCCTCCGTGGTCCTTACGGGGAACGGGGAGGCTCCTCCTGTCCCCAGGATGCTGGGGGGTTTGGGTCCCAGGGTTCTGGGTGGAAGGCAGAACAGTGGCAGGTCTGAAGGAGGCGAGGGGTCGGATCAAGTGTGACCGGGGGAGAGGCTGCAGAAACAGCTGCTGTGGGTCTCAGAGGGGCCTGAGCCCAGCTCACTGTGGGGAAGGCAGGGAGCTGAGGGCGTGCCCGGGGCTTCCCAGGTGATGGCGGAGTCTCTGGCTGTAACTGGATGTGCCCGAGGTGTTGGGCTCGGGGCTCCAGCAGCCCCCGAAAGGAGTGCAGGGCAGCGCATTCTTTGTACCTTCGTGGCCCCGCCGAAGCCTCCTGTGGCTGCCGAACTCTGGAAGGCTTTGCTTTGCCCCCCGGGAGCCGAAACTGGAGACACCGTGTCAGCGTCCACGGGCCCTGCCTGGCGCGGAAAGGGCCCGGGTTCCCCAGCCAGGACACAGGTGGGGGGAGGTGAAGCCAGGGTGCTGCCAACAAGGCGTCCGGGCCCACTCCCGCGGCCTGCCGTCTGCCGCGCTCCTTCAGCTGGACGCACCCTCCCTGCAGAGAGCCGCGCGTCCCGGGGCACGCAGGGGAGCGCCCGCGGCAGGCGGCTGCCCGGCGGAGGGCAGGGCGCGGGCTGGGGCTGGCCGCCTCACCCGGCGCCCACTCACGACCTCGTGGAGCCATCGAGTGCCCCGTTCAGCAGGTGCCTGTCCGCAGGGCCGTAGGAAGGGCGGCCGGGACACGCCGCCCCCTTCCCGCATCACCAACAGGCGTTCCCAGCCGTTGTGGGACGCACGGACCTGTTTCCTAACTGCTCCTGCCCAGAACCTTTGAGGTAATTTGGGGGGAGCCCGAGCCAGGCTGGTCCCCAAGGGCTGTGGCCAGAAAGCCTCTGTGCACGACTCTCGCCTCCCAGCCCGCAGTGGCCCGGCTGCCTTGTCTCTGTGAGGGCGTCGCCTGCGTTCAGGGATGCTTTGGGCCTTGGACCCCAGGGTTCGGCCGGGCCGTGGTCTGGGCACAGAGAGTGTTCCCGAGAGCGGGCGCCAGGGAGCCGTCCGGCCAGCTGTGCTCGCGAGCCTGCCGTCGCGCCGTGCGGCTGCGAGAGGCTGAGACGTGCGCTCACGTGCCAGTCTCCCTCCTGCTCCGGGACAGAGGGCGCCCGCGGGGCACTGGCACGCCTCGCTTTTAGCGCGTCCTTCGACCCCGACAGTGAACTGTGAACGGCTCTGGGGAGCCCTCCTCCGTTGGCTTCGCACGCGTTCTGGCACATTGCTGGCTGACAGCCCTGGCTGCTCCGGAGCATCGATCCCAGGGGAGATGCAGCGTTACACCGGCCCGGGGTTTGGGGAGGGCGGGCGCTGCTCCTGTGTAGAGCTCCCTGGGCGGTCCGACGCGCAGGCAGGGTGCTTTGCTCCCCTGGGTTTCGTCACCGTCCTGTGCGTACGGCGTGGATGTCTCTCTCTCACAGGTGGGGAGCGTGAAGCTTGAAGTCACTGAGAGCGTCTCAGGGCCACACGGCAAAGGCCAAACAGCTGCTACAGAGTGGAGGCCATCGTCAACGCAGAGGAAGCTTTGTCCCCTTTGGGGACATCGGGATACAAAGAAACTTGAATGCCTCGCACGGACCAACAGAGCAAGTCTGGGCAGAGTAGCTCAGCCCAGGGCTTTGGGGGCCTGGCTCACAGAGGGCAAAGCGGGCAGCGGGCCGTGGGGTTCAGCGGCCTGTGAGGGACGAGTGGCCTCAAAGCTCCGAGACTGAAGTCCGACGTCCCAGGCGTCTCCAGGGTCCTGTGGAGCCAGTGGTTCTCAAAGTGTGGTCCCTGGGCCAGCTGCGTGCGTGTCACTTGTCAACTTGCTAGAGAGGCAGACCCCTGGCTGCGCCCAGGCTCGCTGACTCAGTGCCGGGGAGCCCCGGGAGCTGCATCTGTGCCCACCCTCCCGGCCTTGCTGATGCGTGAAGTTCGAGAACCAGGTTCCGGGAAACCGGCCACCTGGACCAAGTCCGCCTCAGCCTAGAACGCGCCAGCCCCTTTGAGCTTAACTTCCCTCCTCGTAAAGGGGGGCCTGCTGTGGGTTTGCGAGATGCCTCGTCGACGGTGAACCTGAAGGCAAACGTGCCTTTGTACTTGGAAGGTCACCCTGGTGACCTTGGGTCAGCGTGCTCTGCGGGCCAGCGTCGCAGAAGCACCACGGCCCAGGCCTCTCCCCGAGGATCTCCATTTTCGTAGGCCCCAGGGATTTCTATGCTCGTGTTAGTCTGAGATGCCCTGAGCCAAGGATTTAGCACGTTGAGACGGGGAGCATCCTTTGCTCCTGGGACTGGCATGGAGTGGGGGCGTCGGCCCCCATCAGCTCTGCTGCCCAGCGCGTGTCTGCCCAGCTCTTGGTCCAGGGCGAGGCCTTTGGGGAGAGCAGGACGGGGAGCCCGTCTGAAGGTTGCCAT